TACATTACCGATTGAGTACTCCTTACGCTCGACATATTAATGATGACACCCCGGGTCTTCTCCAGGTGCCCGACGCACAGGTATGTCATATACACAGCCATATCCAAGTCCACGCGCATAGTAAGGCGATAGGCCTCCATAAATGACGGATTCGTAATGCCGACAAACTTGACTGGCATACCGGCGCAGTTGAACAGTACGTCTATTTTGCCAAAAGTTTCGATAGTCTGGTCGACCAAAGCCCGGGCCTCATCCTCGTGGGTCATATCGGCCGACATTTCTAGTACTTTTGCGCCTAAACTTCGGCACCGGTTGGCCACCGCTGAGAGCCCGGAGTCGGCGTACAGTCCGGTCACCACTACGTCGGCACCCGATTGGGCGAACAGTTCGGCAGTGGCCGCCCCTATGCCGGAACTGGACCCAGTGATCAGGGCCACTTTGCCACTGAAGTCATATGTGACAGACATTTAGTGTATAATGTGTCTTAATTAGCTAATATTAAGTTTACAGTAGTGTACAGTATGTACAAATTTAATTATTTATTTTAGAGTTATTATAAAAGCTACTTGTTAAAACTGCAAATAATTATTAAAATTACTAAATATTATTTAAAATCATAAAATTGTTAATTCATTTTATTGCATACATGTTTTTTATAAACCTTTAAATATTTACTTATTTGGTTAAATAAATATCTTACAATAATGTTAACTATTACAATTCATCGTGAACTTGTAATTATGTTTAAATATTAAAAATAACTAAAAAGTCCTTATTTATTTTTAGTTAATACTAAAGATAAGTAATTATTAACACATTAAAGGATAGTTTTTAAAGTATTATAGTATAAACCTTGCATGGTCTTTCACGTGACTATAAGTATTGGGGGATTTTCTAATGAACAATAATTGGCAGCATTGATGTACACGTGTGCATACATTTGTGTGCATTGCGTAGTTTGCATTCAATACACAGGCAGTCAATACTGTTGTCGATATGTTTTGTTTACAAAACTATGTGGCTATCAGTTGGCCCAGGCACTCATCTAAGGTATAAACTATTTTAAACATTATAATTATATATTATTATACAGTTAGAATTATATATTAATAAAAGAACCTTGTCATAATACAATACAGAATTTGCTATCTGGCAATCGGAATTTTTTGATTGGATATGAAAGTCCATTCAATGTTAAGCCTGAATATGTAATTTATATTGTCCTATGACCTCGAGATCGGCCGGAGTGACCACTTTTATCGGGAAATATTTTATATAAAATGTCAATATGTGATATATCAATTTTATAGAGAATTTTACGTAGAATACGATGATATTAATTAAATTAATAAA